ATATTTTACGCCTACGGAGCGTGCAGTGAGAGTAATCATTTTAAATAAACACATCGGTACCTTTAGGCCTCTTCGCGTTCTTTTGTATTTCTTGCTTTTCATTGTAATCCTGGAGGTACAAAATTACGGGACGGTTTCCAGTTTTTCTTCCAAGTTATGTATGCGGCTAATTGAATTACATTTTCCTTGAAGTTTTTTGCCAAACCGTTCATTCACTACCTCATCCTTAAGGTCATCTTCCGTTTCATTTACTTCTGCTGCGAGGCCATAAATGACTAGATTGGAACGGCGGCTACGGTCTTCGATATCGACAAGCTTTGCTGACGTGTCAGCTACGAAAGATTTTATTTCGTTTAAGTTTGAATCAACCTGATCACTTTTACTTACTGAGTGCGTCATTACTGTGAGAAGGTTTTCAAGTGGAGACATTTTATCGGTTATTAATGCAAGCACATTATTTCGGGATGTCTGTTCGTTCTCCAAATCGGTTATATTTTTCAGGATGACGTCCTGTTGCTCCAAGATTTTGATGAGCATTTCATTTACCTCGGGACTGAGATTTGTTTCGACGTCGCCACAAAGAATAAGCTTGCAGACATGAAAACAGTCATACATAATGCATATGCAAGTGTGTGGGCATGGCACAACAAGAACACACCTAATACTTGATGGTACCGAGCTACATTCGTTACTAACATGGATAACGAAACGGACAGACATGGTCAGCGTTGCAGTTTGGTTCACTTCGCCATGCCTACTGAAGTGCAACCGTCGCAGGCCGCCGTTTATACTCTTCGCCGACGATGACGTCACAGAGAATAACGCCTCCGGGCGGTCGGCGAGAGGCAGACTGTACAACACGTGCCTTGGTTCTAGTTTGTGGGGCAGTGCAGTAGTTGATGACGAGGCAAGCGTAGGTAAGATGACGGGCTTGTGACAGGTTGGCTCGAAGAAGACGCCACCAAGCAGGATTGCCTGGATAACGAAACGGACAGACATGGTCAGTGTTGAGGTTCGGTTCACTCCGCCATGCCCACTTCACCATGGAGCCATTTTTATGGAGACATGAACAAGAACAGGCGAAACGATCTTGTGCTTCGTCTGTCTTCGTCGTCTTCAGGTCAGATTCTTCTGGTTCGCACTAGCACCCAAAAAGGTAACATACAGAGACTGAAGGCTGACTTAAGAGCGATAGAGTGAGACCCACCTCATCTAGGCATTGCCTTGAAACACTTCGAACCAATTAGCAGTAGCTTAGCAATGGTATTTGTAAAACAATTAAAACTTAGCATAGTCTCGCCAGTTAGCAACACTAAGCGATGCCTAGCAACACTTAGCAACGTTTAGCAAAACTTGGAAAAAACTTACCAATACATAAAAACACTTTCCATCACCTAGCACTACTAGCATAACCTCGAAGTTCTTAGCAATCTAGGCATGATTTCTAAATGCCAGGACCACGTGAATTGGAAATAGTTCTGCTGCATCACCAGCCTTGCGTCCCTTCTTCAAGCTACATCCAGCCTTTTTTTTATAGGAGCAGCCGGCCCTGCTATGTTCCTAAAATGAGCGTAGCAGCAAGGTATCTAGGAAACGAACCTTCAAGGCGTGCCCCACGGCGCCACTCATGAATGAGATAGGCCGAATAAAATGGTTCATCTGAAGTGAGCCACCGCCACGGAAGTCTAGTGGCTAAGGTACTTGGCTGTTGACCCGTAGCTCGCGGGATCGAATCGCGGCTGAGGCAGCTGCAATTTTAATAAAGGCGAAAACGCTGTGCGCCCGTGTGCTCAGATTTGGGCACACGTTAAAGAGCTCCAAATGATCCAAGTTTCCGGACCCCTCCACTATGATGTCTTTGATACTTATATGGTGGCTTTGGGACGTTAAACAACACATATTTATCAAAGCAATCATTTGAAGTGCGCCAATAATGGACGACGTCCTTACAAAGTGACATCCTAGGAAATGATGGCCCAGCTCAGTGCGTTTGCTAAGCATGCGCTTAGGAATCGACGAATATGTATTTGTCTCGCAGTGTTTGAGACTTGGCTGTGTCATACAGTGCTGATGCACAGAACATTCGGCTCTCGCCCGCGCCATTTAAAAATTTTGACTATCATCACCTGTCGCCATCAGACGAAAAAAGGGCGTTCCCGACTCATCGTCAAGGCTACTAGCGACGTTCACAGACGTTCTAACATATAAATGTCCTTATATACCCCAAAAAGGAGACCGGTGAATGGCCACCCCAGTAGCTCAGTTGAAAGAGCATTGATTCTTTATTTGAAGATGGCAGGCTCGGTTCACGCCTGGGCGAGTTACCTTTTCTTTAAGTTTTCTTTCTTCATATTTTCCTTGGCGTTCCTTGTCTGTTCTGATAAATATTGTGCCTAACAAAAAAGACGAGTTCTCAAAGTTTCTATTTTTTTTCGTGCTTTAAAATATTGAATTTTGGGCTAATTAGGTTAAAAGACAATGAAGAGAAAAAATTATTCGGTTTTGATTGACAAGCTGCACTCCGAGAATTCTAATGCCACATGTTTAAAAAACAAGGTTGAGGTTTCACAATTAAAGAAAAAAGACTGCATGTTGCGCCAGTTGTTTGGGATTCATTGTGAACTTCCGTTACAGTGCAACACCAGAAACACAGACACAAGGAAGGAGCAAAAAAGAAAAAAGAGATAGCGCAAGCTCTCAACTTATTTCTACTGAAAATTGAATTGTGAAACATCTATGCAACAAGTGTTCAAAACCATTACAAGCGGAAGAGACTAGGAAAAATTCCGGCAGCGTCGTCATACATAAGGTTATTCAAGATCGACAGAAGTAATCAAATTCCTTCTCAAGCAGAGAAACGGATACTTCACCGCTATAGCCCTTCTGTCTAGTTTATATATTATAAGCCTCAGCAATTTCTCTTGTCAATTGGTTTGCGTGTTTGAAGTGACGGTGGTTTTGTTAAAGATAAGACAACATCCACATGACCTGCAGTGAACCACCATATGAAGTTGCGCAACCTCTTATAGTGAGAGCTCACACTGTCTCAGCCGAATCCTGAAGGTCGCCTGGAAGGTCGTCTTGCTAATCTGTGCAGGGGCGTTTTGCACTATGTTGATGATTCTGCTGTATTTTCAGTAGTGGATATCACCACGAGGGTCTTGATGAAATTCTCAAGTTATTGAGACAGCATGGTATGGGCCTCACCTTCACGTACGAAGTTCGTAAAACTAACGAAGTACAGTTTCTAGACCTATTTCTAACATTTGGAGATAATCACGTGTGCTGGAAGTATGGTCGCAGGTCTGTTCATGCTTTCCCAAATATCATATCTGGTGTTTTTAAGGTCGTAAAGAGCAATTGTGAAGACCATCCTAGACCATACTTTCCATCGGTTATTGAGCTACAGAATAACCTTCCACGTAGTTTAATGTCCTTGGAATCTTCTCACTGATTCGCTGCCGGTCTTGTATATCTTGACCATTAAGCGACGACGTCGTACGAGCTAGGCGGTCACGTACGAGCTAGAAGAGACAGACCCACGGCTTCGGGAGCTTCGCCCCTAAAATTGCAGCGTTTCCTTTCGTACATAGACTAGCGCACGGGCTTAAGAACGTAGGTTCTAGGTACGGCGTCTATATTTTTCTTTATCTGCGAAACGTAAGATAGGTTGCGTCTGTCTGATAATTGACAATGCCCTGAAGGACAAGTAGGGCAAAGGCAAATGCACCGTTAATCATAGGATCAAGTACATCGCCTGTGTTAAGGGAGTTGTGTGTATCATTCCATTATCATGTGGTGGGAAGCACGTACGGCAAACGAAGCGATGTGTGAATGTACGGCAGAGAGAGCATGACCTCTCACTTCAAGGGGTTGGGAAACTTCATCTGCTGATTTACTGAAGGTAACGTGAATGCCGTCCTATACCTAACAAAACTACAGTTATTTTTTAGCAAGTAAGTCAATTGAGAAGAGAAATCGCTGATACTTATAATATATCGAGAAAAGACAAAACTTTTATCAGTGAAGCATCCGTTTTTCTGGTTTAGAATAAAAAAATTAATTATTTAGGTTGAACTTGAACATCTGTTTGTAAGGCGACGCTGCTGGAATGCTTACTGTGTCTTGTGCATGACACAGCTTCGTACGCTTGGTATATATGTTTCACAATTCAGTTTTCAATAAAAGTCACTTGCGAGTCAGTTCTGTCTTTTATTTCTCTTTAGCTCCTTCCTTGTGTCTGTGTTTCTGGTGATACGCTGTAAACCAAGTTAACGATGAATTCTTATTTGAATATTGCCCCCAAATTTTCGCACTTGTGATTTCAAATGATTTCAAAAATTTCAAAATCCATTTTTCGTATTTTCATGGCATTGGCCAATTGAAAAGTTCTTCAACTTTCTGTGCTAGGTCTATGACACGCTGAGATGATATTATTCTTTCTTTTTACCAATTATATGCTACGTAGGACACAGTAGACGCTTTCCAATTATATGACAGCGTTTGTTGCGGGAATCTCAATGTTGTGTCACCCCCCCCCCCCCCATTTTCTTTTTGCGCGTTTTCTCGCTTAGAAAGCGTTATCAGACGGTATCCAGAGTGGTGTTTACGGGATTGTGAAATTGTACTTTACTAATACGCAAAAATTGTTTTGCTTTTTAGATAAATTAAAGCATGTGGTGAAGGAGAGTGTGAAAAAGTCTGGAATAAAGAGCGCAGCAAAGGTCGGACAGGCAATAGTTCGCCTTTCTTGTCCTGTGTACTATATTGGCTGCTGCATCGATTCACGTTTCTCGAAATAAAATGCTTGCCGTCCGCAAGGACTCTTGAGACCTTTTCTCCATACTCATTCGTTCATCACTGACTTGTGTCATTTATGCCTTACCACCAACTCATACAAATTCGTCTTGTTTCAACTTCCCTTGATAATTTATGTATCAAACTTTCAGTGCAGCATGCCATATCGAAGTGTCGCTAACGTGGAAGCCCCACCAACGCAGGTTTGTCCGTGATGTTGCCTTTGGAGACGGAATCGGTTCTTCTTGGTGGCGCCATCTTGGCGGCCAGCGCATGCGGCCGTTACGCGAGCGTCAAGGAAGCCATGCTGCGGATGGGTGGCTCGGGTCACGTCATTTCACCGCAGATGAGCGAGCGTTCTTTCCACGACGCCAAGTACGCTGCCTTCCACGCTCTTCTAGACTGCCAGCAGCGACTTAAGGAACTCATGGCCTCTGGAGAACCAGCTGTTTCGTGCTCTTGATTTCACCATAGTATACAAAATGTCCATATCCAGAGAAAAATAAACGGGAAACTTGAAAGGTTTTATCATGTCACAACATTGGTAAGAACTTTATTTAATTTGCTCGTCAAACAAGCGATATAGTTTTGTCAATCTAGATGCAATTTTGAAAGCCTCAGTACTAGTCACACAAAAGCGTAATTTTTTGATAGGGAAAAAAACTAAACAAACAAATGTGGTTGTTTTTCGGTATAACACGAAAGTGAAACCTTTCTTTACAGAAGTGGTTGAATGTTTAGTGTACATAAAGAAAGAGCTTGCAAAATGTCTCTTAATGTTTGACAGCTATCGCACACGTGAACGCACCCACGTTGACGCTTTGTGACACATCTCTTGAGGAGATATGTTTGCTAAATCCTTCCACTACGAAGTGACCGGGAAGAGACGCGGTGCTCTTCACTGCCCTGACGCACAAGGACAGTACGGCTGAATTTTAGACTCTCCGATATCGTGCAGAGATGGCACTCAATACAGATCATCAACAAACACAAGTTTATTTACCCCAAGTTGCAGCACAGTGTGACAATCTCGTGTTTTGTTTACGGGCTGGTAGTGAACACCGCGAGACTGACTGAGTGTACGCTTGCCCGCCGGTGCTAGGGCTATCACACAATGGGCAGCAGCCGAGCGCAGGTACGAGAGGCTGCGTGTATATAGCAGTGCGTCTACCTCTCGTGTGAATCTGCCCAGCGGCGGGGGGGGGGGGTGATTCTTCAGGAAAAAAAAGGCGGAAAGGTAAGGAAACGTTGTGTGGAGTGCACGATAACTGTCTCTCATGTGAGAACACCTCAACCGCTACACTCACGGGGGAATGGGGAATGAAGAGACAGAATGAAGAGAATAAAGTACGCTACAACAATAGGGGGTTGGGGGTAGTGAAATCAAGGAGAAGAAAAAGGAAACTTGCTGGGAGGAGGACACGTTTCACTGTGGTGAGCAGCTTATAAATGTCGCTTGGTCAAGCAGTTGCCCTTAAGAAAGTCCAGTAAGGCCGCAAGGGCAAAGCGGCGGTAATCCTCGTAGTCAGTGGTGTGTAGGAGGTCCTGCAGGGTCACACATGGCAGTCTGATGAGACGCTATCTCTTCACGAGCCGCTTGCGCGCTTCACCGCGAGCAGGACACTCGCACAAGAGGTGGGACAGTGTTTCCACTGCGCCGCAGTCAGCGCAGTTTGGAGAGCTCACGCCGCGCAGACGATGCCTCCGTTCAGCTGGCCACACAGAGCTGGCCCTCAGGGCTAGAAGGAGCCGTCGCCCGTGGCGGGTGAAACCCATCGCTCGCATAGGAGGAGGGTGGCGTCCGGCGCCAACCTGAGCGTCAGGATGCTCGCGCATTAGCTCCCGGCGAAGGTTGTTGCGTGTCGAGTCGAAGAGCTTGCGTAGTCGGTTAGCGGGATCTCTGCGGGGTGTGCTCGTTTGGCAAGTTTGTCTGCAGCCTCGTTTCCCGCGATGCCGACGTGTGACGGGAGCCACTGGAGCACAAGCACTCTTGAAGGGCCAATAGGCTGCGTGCAGCGCGCTGAGCCAGAAGTGGGCCACGTTCCTCCCTCGTGAGCTGACTCAGGGCACGTTTTGCGTCGCAGAATGTTGCTGCGCTCTTGACGGCTGGCGACTTGCGTAGGAGTTCGGCAGCCAACAAAAGTCTGACTAGCTCAGCTTCTGTCGAGGATGCGCAATACCGCAAGCAGCACTGTCGCTCCATGCCAAGCTGAGGGGCTATGCAGGCAGCTGCAGCAGAGCCATTCCGCAGGACGGACCCACCAGTGAACACTTGCGTCCTTCCGGCCAGGTCCCCATACGGTCGTGCCGCAACCTCCTTCGTCATGGCACTGAGTCAAGTGTGGCACTTTGGTCGGACTCCCGGCAAGTGCAGATTCACTTAAAGGGGCGCTCGCCGGTGAGGCAGCGGCCCGCGCGAAGGGCGCGCAGGATCGTTGGCCACAATGGCGTCGTAGACGTCCAGGGGTTGGCCTACACGGAAATTTGGCACAGCACGTAATCGCGTGAGCAGTGGGCCAGCATCGAGTGGCTGGTAGAGACGCTCCAAGTGGCACACTGCGCGCAAGTCTTTCGTGAGCGACGCAGGCCACGCGCGAGCTTCCGCGAATGTCTCGGCCACACGAGAGCTACGAGGCATTCCGTGACACATGCAAATGGCGCAACGGTGGTCTTCGTCTATGAGTCGCCCCCATGGTGCTTGGAGTTTGCAGATAGGCAGTGCGCAGTGCTAGTAGATAGAGCCACCAGATAGAGTATCTAGCACAGGCTAAGGCATTGGGGCAGTCATTGCCGCCGGTGAGTAAACAGCAAACAATCGATGCCTCGCGACGCGTCGTCTGGCGTACGTGCCGCGCTACCAGAAACCTTCGAATGCAATTGTCTATTGTGAGGCCAAGGTGGCGGACGTCGCTGCGCCAAACTGTCGACGCTCCATCTAGCTGAAGGCACGGGAGACATCGTCAGGCCTCAGCAGGAGGGTGAACGAAAAGGGCATTGGTTTTCGGCGCCGAGATTACGAGGCCGATTTCTAATGAAGATGGCCACTTAGTAGAGGGCCTGCTGCATAAACGCGCACAACGCTGAGCACTTACGAGTTGGCCCACGCACACTAAGAGCGACGTCATCTGCGTACACAACCGAGCGCACAGAGAACACAGCCCTTTCTGGAAGGCCCTTGGTGAGTGGCACGACTACCAAATTAAATAAAAGCGGGCTGAGGATGCTGTCCTGTGGGACACTGCAGCTGGTGGATGATGGCGCACTTCTCACCCGGCCCACACACATAAAAAGCGTCTGGTTGGTGAGGAAGGCCTGAACGTAATTGAAGGGTTTGCCCTCGACATCAAGCATGCGCACAGCACTGATGATGGACCCATGGAGGAGCGAGTCAAAAGCCGACTGTATGTCGAGGAGGAGAATAATGGCCATTTCTTCATTGTGTAGGACTTGCTCGAGGGTGCTCATGATCGCGGTGAGGCAGTCGGCTGCCGCGTGCGGAGGCCGGAATACGCATTCTTCTGGTGGGAAGGCGTTGCGAGCTTCCGCTATGCACTACAGTCAATAAAAGGTCATCTCTTCCATTGTTTCGCCCACCACTGAAGTAAGGAAGATGGGTCTATACGACTTGACCGAGTGTAGCGGTTTGCCTTGCTTGAGGACCGGGATCACGATAGCGGAGTGTCACTGATCCGGGAGGACAGCTCTGGAGAAAACTCTGTTGATTGCATCCAGCAAGAAAGGGTGCTGGGAGGCGTCCAGGTTCCTGAGCATTTGATGTGGGATTCTGTCCATACCAGGGGTGCTGCACTTGCACCTCTTGAGAAGAATCGGTTCGAGTATGGTGTGAGCGAAATTCTCCTCGCAGAGAAAGTGAATATCAGCTGACGTGGCGGGTTCCATGGGAGGGAGGGCAAACGCGTCAGTTGCTGTGACACTGCTGCCACTCCCTGTACTCAGAGAAGGGGGTGCGAATGAAGACGCAAGCAGTTCAGCAAGCTCTTTCTCATTCATGTCCTGCACAATAGCTATTGCGAGGAGTGGGTAACGCCACTTTCGGGTTAATCATCATGTGCATGTTATGCCAGCCGTGGCAACAGCGGCGTGGGTTCTTTAGAGAAGAACAAACACCCGTTCGGCTGCGGTCACGTAGCCGCTGGGCGTGACGTCGGCACACGGTGTCCATTCGGTTGTACTCTGTCCATGTGCCGTCAACAGAGGAGCGCAACGCGCGCCTCCGTGCGCGCTGGCGCACCGCGCAGAGGTTGAGCAGCTTCATGTCAGGGCAGGGCGTGCTGGCAGGAAGAACACAGCGCGTTGTCGCGCGCTCAGCACAGTCTGCAATGCGCAAAAAGAAATAATCACTGCTCGGTACCCTCCCACACAGCTCGCGGAAAGGTGGCCACCGCACAACTCTGTATTTGCGAATGGCACCACCGCTGGCGTGACACTGAAGGAGCGGGATCAGGTAGTGATCAGACCCAGTGGTGTCAGCAAGGCGCTTTCACTTGTAAGAGCAGCGTTCTGACACCAGCGCCAGGTCAATCACAGTCGAGGCCACGCTGCGGTGGATGAAGGCGGGTTCTTCGGAGTTCAAGACCGAGAGACCCACTGAGCTGATCACGTCGCTAAAGTCCCGACCACGTGCATCTGGCAGCCCCAAGGGACGTGATGCGCGTTGAAGTATCCACACAATGCGTGACCACGCGCGAGCGCTGCGGCAAGACGCGGCACAGTAGTGCAGGTGGCCGCAATAACAGGGCGCAAATAAACACTCGCGACAGATGTGTCAACACCGTCAATACGCACTGGGCCAGCGACACACTCAGTTGTTGCACTGCAGAATTGTTGAAAAGGGAGTAGCGCATGAGCGAGCATGGCACCAATGTAAAATTCGGCGCGTGGCTTCCCAGGCTTGTGGGTGACGTCACAGCACGGGCCACTGCTGCACATCGCCAGCGCACACTGAGTGGGACTGCTGTACCTGACGTAGCCGGGCAGCGAAACATCCTCTGCGCAATTATACGTCTTCTGCAAGACAAAGACGTCGTAGTCGTTTAGGGAAGAATCGCCGCGTGCTCTGCTTGACGGCAACGCAGTGAGCTGCAGTTCCACTGCCGCATGCGTGCCCTTCGCTCACGTTCGTCACTTGTCATCACTGGTAAGTGCCACGTGGGTGGCCAGTGCTGCACCACAGAGCGGGCGAACGGGACGACCGGCGGGAAGGAAGTCCATGGTGGATTTTACCACCGCAACGAGGACGGAGATGATGGAGTCATTCTTGTCGCTAGTCAAAGAGCAAGAAAGCGTAGGGACGCTGAGTGGAGGCTGTGTGCGCCTCGACGAGGATCCGCCATAGGCTGCCGTGTAGGAGAGGCCCTCCCGAACAATGCACGACTTGTGCTGTGAGCGCGAGTTTGAGCCTTTGCCTCGCGCACCAACGTGTACCTCAGGAAGACAACACTCCTCTTGCCATCAGAGGCAGTGTGGTTCAGTGGCTGGATGGAAGCCGCTGCAGTAAAAAAACATTTGCACTCTCCGC